AGCAAGCCTAGTGCTCGCCCTAAGTGAAGGCGGGCCAGCAAATCAACAAGAGCCCTCTGTGCCAACATTTCACGAAGTGGGGTCTATACAGTTGCAGCACGCCAGTTGGTTGGAGTGCACCGAGTCTCGGATTTCAGCAAATGCTGAAATGCCCAGGGCCTCTGAGTTATTTAGGCCCTGGGCACTCGAACGTGAGGCCGACAATGCATGCTGGGTAGAGAGGCCGAAAATGCCAAAGGGGAATCGGCGCACTGTCTGAATCTGGCCGCAGGCCTTGATGAAGGAGGCGCAACTGCATTGCCCCGGGGCCCAACTGTATCGAGTTGGCTTCAGCCTCTGGGCCCCGGTCACAGGCTGAAGGGAGGCCRCCCACACGCTGCACTGGCATATAGGCAAGCAGGGCGAGGCAGCGAGGATCTTGGCCAATGCTGGCATATGCGGGCACGCTGCGCAGATGCAAGTGTGCTGCGCTATGCCGAGCAGCGCTGCGCTAAGACAGGGCAGGCCAGCGCTAGGCGGTAGGGCGCTGCCTGCGTGCAGGGCACTGGCGGCCATAGCCGGGCCGCATGAGGGTGCCGGAGAGGTGAGGGCGAAGGTGGTACTTCGGAGGTGAAGGGCGCTGTGTGGGTAACAAGGGAGAGTGTGGGGAAGAGGACACGTACCTGGTGATGGTGGAGGTCTGCATTGGTGTTGACATCATCACTCGCTGGTAGTCAAGTTGTCTGGTTGCTGTTCATCGCTGTAGTTGTAGGATAGGCTGTAGAGTAGATAGGGCGCCTGGCGCCATTCACAAGAGAGAGCTACATTTGGGTTATGCTGTTGGTGTTGCCCTGTTGGGCATGGACATTGGCTCACGATTCTTCTGTATCATTCTCAATGGGATGGTTACTCGGTTCCGTGTGCTATCTGCTTTGGCTTTGAATACTTGGACTTCAGTGTGATTTTGCATTCTGGATTTCTGTGCTTCGTCTATACTCATGTTCCTTGCATCTGCCAATTTTTAGCCGGTTTTCTGGTTTTCTTTGAAAAACCGGCTCTTGTGTGTGCATATTGAAAAAAAAAACTGAAGTTGCCTTATGGATGGATCCTCGCATCCTGGTGTGCAACAGTTCATTGGAAGGTCCGCAAGCGGAGTACATTGTCATACACGCTCACACTCCTCCCCATTCTGTCAGAAATTGCAGCTTTCCTGTCATTTTCCCTCTTTTCTCGTTCTCTCTCTCTCTCTGTCTCTCTCTCTCTCTCTCTCTCTCTCTCTCTCTCTCTCTCTCTCTCTCTCTCTCGTGTGTGTGTGTGTGTATGCATCTATGTATATGTATGCAGTGTTTCAAAGCTCCCTGTGTTCTGTCCTCTTCCTCTGCATTTCTGGTTCACAAGGTACTTCCCTGCGACAATATATATGTGTATGTATGTATATATATATACACATGTACATATGTGTATAGTCACAGAGATATGTGTCTATATATCCATATGTATGCTTATGTAAATACTGAATACGTCTTTCTTACTCCTGTTTGTCAAGTTGATGGAGAAAACAAGAATCATGGGAAGAGTTAGAGAGGCTATTGAATTTCCTGGAATTTGGCATGCATACCAGCGTGTTGCAGCGGACTGAGTCAAGGCTTTCTGATGGATTTTATAATCTAAATGTGTACAACTTGACACTAAGGGTCAAATTTTGTGATTGTGAATGTGTTTCTTTCGCACAGTTCTTTATGATCTCAATGTTTGACATGATGGTTGCTGTGTTGGACAATCTCCAGAACCACCCGTTTAGTCCCAAGTTCAATTACAGCAAAGAGTCATCAAGAAACCTGAGCTCTTCGGTGGGTTCTTGAAGGCGCCTTGTGACCAAAAAAAACATGAGTTTAGATCAAGCTTTATCTGCTGAATTGTCAAAAAAATGTGAGTATATGACACACAGCTGTCTTCCCCAACAGTATGGAAGAGTGATGTGAAGCTGTGAACTGCATAACCAGTCACATAGCCCTCTGGGGTAAATAAACCTACTTCGCTTCTGACGCTGGTTCAGAGGGCACCCAAATGGAAAACGCCATGCAAGCACTCCCTGGAAAGAGTCCCAAGGAAACAGTTTACGGACTCCCAAGCATCCCAAGGAAAGAATCGAAAGAGTCCCAAGGAAATAATCCCAGGAATGCAGCATTGGCATAGCTCTCCCAGGAAATGCGGTGGCAATGAACACAAGGTCCTGAGACCAGAGTATGCAAGGTGAATGCAAATAAATGAAGGGGATTTGATGTTTCTTAATGATACCAAGTGGAAAAGACCAATATCTGATGAAGTGTGAGGAACGTGTCCTCATGGGGCCCTAGCCAACATGCATATGTTCTGGACTGTGGCCCCCAGCAAGCCTCGTGCCCGCCCTAAGTGAAGGCGGGCCTGAATATCCACGAGAGGCCCTTATCTCAGCATTTTTCAATGTGGGTATCAGACAGTTGCTGCAAGCCAGTTGGTTGAAGTGCTACGTGGGCCTCTCCCTGGGCTCTTTCCAGAAGCAGCAGTGGCGTCAAGCAGTTGAGCCCAGGACGCAGGTGGTTGTGCCCTGGGCACACGCAGAGTGAGGCCGACACATCACGAAGTGGCCGCAGGCCAATGAGAATGCAGCATTGTCGTCACGCCCACCCCGCGGGCCTATGCAAACGCGGCAAACACTTGGAGCCTGGAGGCATCCTGGAGGTGCCCAACTGAAGAGGGCCCAGGCCCTTAACTGTAGGAATGGGCCTGGGCGCAGACACTGGGCCCCGACCGGAAGCTACTGGAAACTTCCTCGACCAGGCCCAGGCAGCCCAGCAGGGCAGCTACTCCCATACAGGGAGGAGGCCGGCCAGGGGAAGGTATTCTGGCTTAGGCAGGCAATGCGGACACGCTGTTGCGACGCTGTGCAAGTGTCTGCATTAGCGCAGCTGGCTGCGGCACGTGTGGGCGCTATGAGGTGAAGTGGGGCGCTGCAGGGCAGCGGGGCGCTTAGCGGCCATAGCCGTGCTGCAGGGGCACGGGCAGGTGATGGGCGACGGTGGTCGTCAGGAAGGAGGCGCATGAGTTGGTGGACAGGGTCTGATAAGTGGAGACGAGAGAACGTACCTGGTGTATGTGGGAGGTCGGCATTGGTGTTGACGTCATGTACATTGGTCTTCGACGGCGAAGTGAGCCTATTGCACGAATGTAGATAGGATAGATAGGCTGAGTAGAGTAGGCTGGGCGCCGAGCGCCACACAGTAGGGAACGACATTGCATACTGCGTTGGTGTGGCCTGAGGGCTTGGACATTGGCTCACGAGTTCATTGTATCGCTCTTATTTGGATGCAATCTTGGTGCATTTGAGCTCTCTGCTTAGTACATGACTATGTGGACTTCTGCGTGATTTTGCAACTTGGTTTTCTGTTTATCGCTCTCACTCATATTCCTTGCAATTTGGTATCGGAGCTGGTTCGAGATCGCCATTACCTGGCGTTGGCGACATTGTTACTTGGTGCGCTGACGATGCTTCTTCGTAGTAAGGATACTTCGACGCTGGCGTAAATAGTCACTCCCGGGTAGAGGGGAGTTGGCCGGAAGACTGGCACAGCGTGGGAGCTGTGGCGACAGCGAATGTATGTGTGATGATGAGAGCGTGCTGATTGGCATTTATTTTGGCTGAGGTGGCACTGCGTTGTGTTGTGGGTGGTACCGAGGCTATGACCGGCCATCGAAATGCAAGTCGGCTCAATTGGTGAGAAACCTGTGGTTGGGGGAAGATATCTCCAGGTACGTTGTTCCCGCACCTTATCTTCCCTCTCAGTCTCTTCTTACCGTGAGGAAGTGAGTCCAACCTTGAGTGTCCTCGTTTGAGTAAGGAGTCGAGAGCGCTCTATCTTGAGGGACGACATTCTTCCCGGTGGCGCATCTGGCAGGAGAGGGCGGTGCTTCTGAAGGGCCCTGGTCGAAGCACGGGTCACAGTCACCATGCCAACCCATGGGAGTAGTACACGCAGACCGTGCTGCTTTGTCCTTTGAAGCTCTTTGCTGCGCCAGTAGAGGAAACGTGGACTGACCAGTCCTTTGTAGACACTCACCAGACCGTCCTTAGATATTTCTGGCAGGGATCTGATCTGAACACTGGCTGTGATCGTCGTCCTGTCTGCGACATCAAACAATTCCTGAGGACATTAGGGGCTGTCCTTAAAATGCCTCTCCATCAGCCAGATCAGTCAGACGTAAGGCTCATTACACGCGAGGGTAGTTCTGGTCATAAGTGAGTTCCTGGGCGCACGGGTGGGCCATTAATGCACACCTTAGTCACCGCTGCTTGATGATGCGGACAGGTACGTTGGCTACAGGTGAAGGAAGATTCCAATCGATGCTCAACTACAGACAACTATTTCCATTGTGCATACATCTGCTCACATGATTTATTTTTATTATGATTAGTTGGTGGACAGACTGCTAACACCTAACAGACAGCTTAGATTAGAACTGTAGTGTTCTACCATAGCCAGTTCTCATCGAAGCTGCCGTGAGTGAAACTAGTCAGAGTAGGATTAGATTATGTGTTCAGTCTGCGTATATGTACCGCTTGAACGGTAGCCTAGGTGACTGCATCCGTCATTTTCCCTCTTTTCTCATTCTGCATCTCTCTCTCTCTCTCTCTCTCTCTCTCTCTCTCTCTCTCTCTCTCTCTCTCTCTCTCTCTCTCTCTCTCTCTCTCTCTTTTGTTTTTATGCACGCACGTACACGCACGCAGTGTTTCACGCTTTCTTTTTATTTTGATTAGTTGGTGGACAGACTGCTAACACCTAACAGAGCTTAGATCAGAACTGTAGTGTTCTACCATAGCCAGTTCTCATCGAAGC